TGCTTAGCATCCCCAGGAAAAGAAGTCTCACAACAGATGGAAGATTTATTTGTTAATGCTATTATGTCTCATAATTACTTAAAAAAAAAGAACATGAGAATGTAAAAGATGTTAAAAGGTTATGGGAATGGAGATATTTTCCAAAATAGACAGAAAAAATGAGAAATCCTCAGCAAGTGATGAAAGTCTGTTTAGGTTTGTTATGATGCATATAATGGATGAGGCTAAAATAACAATAACACATAATCTTAAAATGTCTATGGTCATAGTTTAGTCAACTAGCTTAAGGAACAAAATATATATCTAGTCAAGGTTTATCTGAGAATATTTGGTTTTTTACCCAAGCCTTATCTACATAGTACATGATAGTTAAAAGTACCAGACTGGTGGAACTAACCTTATTGGATGTTTAACAGCCATACTTTGAGGCCTATTCTAATGTGATCAGAGAGACTTAAAGGACCGTTTTTGCCCCTTGACCTCCAAGGTTGACTAAGTTCCAGGGGACTATGAAACATCTCTCAAAATGTCCTTGGGCCATTAGCAACATACTCCGTTCCAAAGGCCAAAACTGTCAAAAATATTTGGGAGCTTTTATCTAATTCTCAAAAGATTTTAGGGTTACCTCTTCAGGGGGGAGGGATGTTAGAGTAGCCAAAAGCCCCATAAAAATATAATAAAATAAATGAAAGAAGAAGAAAGAAAGAAAGAAAAAAGAAAAATAACCTATAGGCCGAACTTTTTCTTGTTTAAAAAAAACCTTTTGAGACAGGGTTTCACTATGTAACCTTGACTGACTGACCTGGAAGTCAGTATGTAGACCAGGATGGCCTTGAGTTCACAGAGATCCATCTGCCTCTACCTCCTGAGTACTGAGATGATCTACCTATCTATCATCTATCTATCAATTATCTATCTCTCTTTATGTATATACATGCTTTATACTAGCTGAAAACTGGAACCAACTCAAATGTTAGCAATAATAAAGGGGGAAAACCCAACTGTTAAGTGTTCATACAAATGAACACTGCTTAAATTCATAGTACTGTTGGAAAGCCAGATATAAAATAATTAATACTATATGATTACATTGACATAAAGCTACAACATGGGCACAAATGATATATTATGTCGTATTTGCCTAGGAGAGGGAAGTGGGGCAGTGTTGTGCCTGGGAGGGATGGAATGGGCCTCTGGCAATGCCTGATTCCTTCATTTCTGCGCTTTTTATACTTTCGTACTTGTACTAACTTCAACATGTTAATCATGAATAAAAGGTTTGATTAAAAAATAATAAAGGGAAAAAAATGCAGAAAAAGAATATTTTTCTGCTGTTTGGGGCTGTTTTGGGGCTGTTCAGGGAGGGCATGGGGTCTGTACCTGGTGAAACTTATCGAGGAAAACATCCCTGTAACACATGTTTTCTACAGTTACAGGGTTCCAGGAGCTCATTGCAGCTACAGGGCTTGGGAAACCTGTTTGTCAGTCTGTGGAGCATGGTCTGGTGATCACAATGCATTGGGTCACCAGTTCCTGGAGCTGCTTTTGGCAGCTTGCAGGTGGCTGGGAGTTGGTTGACTCAGTTCCTCCTAGGGGCCTTATGGTTTCTGGGTCTGTACCTGGTGAAACTTATCGAGGAAAACATCCCTGTAACACATGTTTTCTACAATTACAGGGTTCCAGGAGCTCATTGCAGCTACAGGGCTTGGGAAACCTGCTTGTCAGCCTGTGGAGCATGGTCTGGTGATCACAATGCATTGGGTCACCAGTTCCTGGAGCTTCTTTTGGCAGCTTGCAGGTGGCTGGGAGTTGGTTGAATCAGTTCCTCCTAGGGGCCTTATGGTTTCTGGGTCTAGGGTTTCCTGGACCTGCACCCTATCATTCCAGCCATTTATGTTATAGGATTTGGGATGACGTTTCTCGTTTGGGTATTTCCTGCTGGGTAAGGTTGATGACAAAAGGGGGAGGGGGTTTGAAGTAAGGTGATGAGGCTGAGTCTGGAAGGTTGCCATTGGAGTAGACAGGATCACAAGATGGGGTCCAGTCCAGCGTGGCTGGAGGGTTCCCTTTAGTCCCTTGTGTTGATCAGTGGACTGGACCAGCTGAAAGGTATGGGAGAGCTGGTGTTTGGATGCCTGTGGGATAATTCAGTCAGCATGCTCCCTGGGGAATTTTCGTAGAAGAGTGAAAGCAGTCATGGAGGGGAGAGGATTGTTGGAGTGGCAGATTGCTCAGGAGGAAAAGCCTGCCATACAGAAACTCAAAGGGCTGCTATTTCCCCCATAGTGGGAAAAGCCTCTATCCATCCTGAGAATGTATCCACCAAGACTAGTAGGTACCTGAACTTTTTGCAAGCTGGCATATGAGTAAAGTCTAGTTGCCAATCAACCCGGGAAGAGCTCCTCTATGTTGGTGGGGTTTAAAGGAGGGAGGTGAGCAGCCCCCGCCCTGAGAAGAAACAGTGGCGCAGATGGGGCAGGACTGGGTGACTTTTGTGAGAAGGGGAAGGAGTTTAGGATAAAAAATGAGGGGTTCAAGTAATTTATAATGTGGGCAAACCCCAATATGAAAGATGTTATATAGGTGAGTCAGGATGGACAAAACCTGGCCTTCTGGTAGGCAATACCTGCCTCCAAGAATCATCCATCCTCTTGAAGTTGGGGTAGCTCCTTTATCTAAAAGAGATTTATGCTGTTGAGGGGTGTAGGAAGTCATGAACTCTGATGGAGTTAAGACAGGTTAGCAGCATGGTATTGGTGTTTGCTGGCCTCCCTAGCTGCTTGGTCGGCCAGGTCATTGCCTCTGGCAATAGGATCAGTGAGAGGTTGGTGCCCTCTACAATGGACTACAGCTACCTTGGCAGGAAGATAAGATGCCTCCAGTATTTAAGGATTAGTGGACCATTAATAATGGGGGAGTCCCCTTTGTGGTAAGTAGACCTCTTTATTTCCAGATAGAGGCATGATGGTGGATTATATGGAAGGCATATTTAGAATCTGTGAAAATATTGATTTTTTTTTTTTTTTTTTTTTTTTTTTTTTGCCAATGTTAAGGCTCTGATGAGTGCTATGAGTTCTGCACTCTTGTGAGAAGGTGCCAGGAGATAAAGGTCCAGACTCAATAATGCCTGTGAGGGAAACTGTAGCATATCCTGCCCTGTGGGATCCAGTAGGGGTCAGTGTTGAGCTGACATCCACAAACCAGTTTAGATGCGAATCAGGTAGGAGCTGGAGAGAAACCAAGCAGTCCTGATAGGTGAGTTCTGGAGGATCTAAAGTGATTGAGGGGTTTTCAAGGAAGGTGGCATGAAAGAGTTGGAACTTAGATAGAGCAAGAGTGCTGAGAGGAGTGGGTGAGGAGGTCCTTAAGATGGTGGGGGAAAGAACAGAAAGAGCCTGTTCCAGGGTGAGTTTAAGACCTTCTTGAGCCAGGAGGGCGGCAGTTGCCAGAGCATGGTGACAAGGCTGCCATTCCTTGACAGTGGTGTCTAGTTGTTTTTAGAGATAGGCCATGGGGGCAAAAGTGGGTCCTTTCATTTGTCTGAGGACCCCACCCCCACCTCCACCCCAGCCAGGCTCTTATTTTCAGTTACATATGAGAGAAATGGGGATCCTAGGTCAGGGAGGGCTAAAGCCAGTGCCTCTATGAGGGCCTTTCCTGATGGCATGGAAATCCACTGTGATTGGTCCCAGGAACTCTACATGTTCAGAAGGGTCCCCTTTGTTTTAGGGAAATGAGGTTTTCCATCGACCCCACCATGGAGATCTGTGAGGGAAAAACCTTACCAGAGTAGGAGGGAAGGACAGACCATGAGACAGATTTACCACTACTGTAGCCACTACCCTGGGCTCCTCAATAATGATGGTCATGGATGAAATGGGTGCTGAGGAACCAGGGCCTCATCAGTCTTTGGCTGCTAGGCCCAGAAGATTGTTGACTGACTCCTGCAAAGTGGATGGGGTCAGGGAGGAGACTGGCCTACCTTGGTGGCAAAGAAGGACAACTGATCCTCCAATGATCTCTCTGTCCACATTGAGGGCAGGGTCCCAGTGGTGGTGGTAGGTTGGGGCATTGTTTAGCCCAGTGTCCAGTTTGTCCACATCTGAAGCGGGGTCCTGGTGGCTGACGCTGTGTGGGAGTGGAGCTGGAGATTGTCTTCTTTGGAGGAGCCCTTAGAGCTGTGGCCAGCAGCCAGTATTTTTTAGACCAGGCAAATTTGTCCATCCTAGCCTGCTCCTCCAGGTTATTAAAGACTTTAAATGCCATTTCTAACAGCTCTCCCTGGAGGGTGTCCACACCCCTTTCTAGCTGGCTAAGTTTTCTCCTAATATCAGGGACAGACTGAGATGGAACGATGGCTAACCATGAACCTGCCATTTCTAGAATCTGGATCATGTCTGGTGTATTGTACCAGGGCCTCAGTAAGCCTAGGCAGAAACTGTGCTGGGTTTGTGGAGAAGGATCCTCATTTTTTTCTCTATTTGGGACATATTTTTAAGGGAGAAAAGGGAGGGTGGACTCTGACAACTCCTTCTACCTCGACTACTGTCAGCATGGGAGCAAGTGCTCCTGGGCACGGGGTGGGCGTGGCCGAGTGGGTCCCCAGCCTGGCCCTGGACCCCAGGTTTTGGCGCTGCCCGTTCGGGCCTCATGGGTCCTGAGCTGCCTGGTGGGCCCCTCACCTGCCGACCACCCTAGCTTGTGGGTGGGTTGGGTGGGAACCCGAGACCCCGAGGGGCCAAGGCTGGTGACCATTTGAGGTGGGCGAGGCGTAGGGAGTGGGGCATCCTCATTCCTTGCAGCTGCTGAACAGTGGTGGCCACCTCTTGAGAACGGGAGCAGGGAGAGGGGTAGAAGGATCACAGCCAGTGGGAGGGGTTCTTGCCAAGAGGACCTGAGCGTTTGGTAGGGAGCACACAGGGAGGGTCTGGCACGAAGAACAAAAAAAGCTTGGATATAGGGGAGTTCAGACCATTTGCCATTATTTGGCAGAAGTTATCTAAATCTCTTAAAATATTTGTAGCCCGAAAATGATTTATTCCTCCCGGACTTCTGAAGAGCCATGGACTGGTGCAGGGCACCCTGGGGAAGAAAAGTGGAGCTTAGTGTGGGGAGAGATTGGAACGAAAGGATTTGGCGATAATTCTGGGAAGCAGGGAACAGGGAGCAGGCGAGCCAGCCTGCCCTGGACCCCTCACGGCACTCTGTGGGGTGAGTGGGCATGCGAGGACGTGAGATGAGGCAGACTGTGGGCAAAAGCAATAGAACGGTGGGCTGAGCCACATAGAGCTGGGTGCCAGGGGTTGGGCGTTCGTTTCTTTGTAAGTCTCTCCTCCCCAAAGGTATAAACTTTGAAAAATTCAGATAAGGATGTGGTATGTGGTTTGTCTACCGGCGTCAAGAGCAAGGGACCCTAAGAGAACTCGGGCGACAATATTGAAGTCTAAGGTTCCTGTCTCTGGCCAGACAGGACCATTGTCTAACTTGTACTCTGGCCAGGCAGTGGTGCAGAGAAACTTGAGGCATTTAGGCCTGACAGAGAAGACTGAGGATTTTAGATTTCAGAAGGCAAGCAAGGGGGGTGAGTCCAGCAGGTTTAGAATTGAGGTTGCCGGTTTTTTAGAGGGATGAGGAAGAGAATGAAAAGGGTGGTTAGTGTGAGGTGATAAAGGAGGAAAATGAGAGCTGAAGAAGGGAAATGGGAAGGCTGTGGGCACCTCCAGGGGAAGGAGAGAGTGGCAATGAGGCTGACGCAGAGAGCAAGTGCAAAAGGAGGAGACAGAGGACGAGGACAAAGGAGGAAAGAGGCCTGAGAGGAGAGGCGTGCCAAATCGCCTGTGGGGCCGACGTCCAGAGAGGCATCCTTCCGTGCAGAGAGTCCCGAAAATGAGTGTCCCAAAGTCCCTAGGGGCAGCGTCCACGACTAGGGAGGGGAAAACGTGGGATCTTCTGACATCCTGGCATGATTTAATGAGGAACAGGAGAGACTGTATGGCATGGAGAAGAGAAGTCGGGAGGGAGAGGGAGAAAGAGAAAGGGAGAGAGAGAAAGGGAGAGAGGGGGGAGAGAGGGGAAATCAGGAAAAGATTTGAGAGCGTTAAATGGATGGGTCAATCTGCCAGGTGGGCTTAGGCAAACACAGCAACCGTGCTGGGCACTGAAGGTCGCAGAAGCCTGTGATGACTAGTGGCCAAAATTTTAAGTCTGGGAGTGACTGACAGTCATGATGAAAAGGAACGTTCAAATGGCAGGAGAGGGAGGGTGGGGGAAGGGGAGAGAGAGGAGGGGGGGGAGG